TGATTTTCTCCAAAATTGCCCAAAATCTCGCACCGTGTGTTATTAATTTTTTTTTAAACTCCTAATTCGATTAAAAACGAATAAAAAAAATAAAAATAAAAATAAAAAATAAAAATAAATAAATAAAATTATTGCGCCCCCCTTTATTTCAAGTCAAAACTAACTCCCAAAATTAAATAAGAATTTTTCGAATTTTTGGATCGGGCCGAGGCGCCAGGCGCCTTGCCTAAAAAAAAAAATTCTAAATTTTCTAAAATTTTTTCCAAGTAATTTTTCAACACCTTAATCTCAGCCTAAACAACCTAACTACAATTAAAAATAAGTGAAATTCGAAAAGAAAATAAGTAAAACTACTCCTAACTAATTTACACAAAACCCTTCAAAAGAAATTTTCAATTAAACAAGGAAGGGAAATATATATTTTTTTTTTTCAAACTCTTAACTTCCTGGAAGTTGGATAGAGGTCTTCCCTCTATCTATTTCTTCTCCAAAATATTTTTTAACACGTTGGCCATTAACTTTAAAAATGTTACCTTTAAAATCTTCGAGTTCAATGGCACCATGAGGGAAAATTTTTGAAATTTTAAATGGTCCAGACCACCTGGACTTTAGTTTTCCCGGAAATAATTTTAAACGAGAGTTGAAAAGTAAAACTAAGTCTCCTACTTGAAAAGCTTTAGGCCTAAGCCTCTTATCATGCCATTGCTTAGTTTTTTCTTTAAAAATCTTTGCATTTTCGTAAGAAAAGTTACTATGCTCCTCAAGTTCTATCAGTTGGAGCTTCCTTGATTCTCCTGCAGAAAATAAATCAAAGTTTAGTCTTTTTGTCGCCCAAAAAGCTTTATATTCTAACTCTAACGGTAAATGACAAGCTTTACCAAAAATCAACCTATATGGGGACATGCCGAGAGGAGTCTTGTATGCTGTCCTATATGCCCATAGAGAATCGTCCAGTTTTAAAGACCAATCTTTTCTATTTAAATTGACAGTTTTTTCCAAAATAGATTTGATTTCTCTATTAGACACATCCGCTAACCCATTGGATTGGGGATGATAAGCTGTGGCTATCCTGTGACGGACATTATACTTAGACAACAAACTTCTTATCGCTCTATTCAAAAAATGAGTCCCCTCATCACTTATCAAACATCGAGGGGTACCATAACGAGTGAAGATATGCTTTTGTAAAAATCGAACAATTACCCTAGCATCATTCGTAGAGGTAGCAAAAGCTTCTATCCACTTGGACACATAATCAACAGCTAATAAAATATAATTCTTACCATACGAAGGAGGGAACGGACCCATGAAATCAATACCCCATACATCAAAAATTTCAACTTCCAGAATAGGGTTCAAAGGCATCTCATTAAGTTTAGAAATATTACCTGTCCTCTAACACTTATCACAAACTTGAGCGAAACTATGTGCATCACGGAATAGAGTGGGCCAGAGGAACCCGCTTTGTAATACCTTCGCTGTGGTCTTTTGTCCATCGAAATGCCCTCCATATGGAGACATATGACAAGCCTCCAAAATTGCTTTTTGCTCTTCCTCCGCTACACACTTGCGAAGGATTCCGTCAGGACCAAGTTTATACAAAAAAGGCTCATCCCACCTATAATATCTCACATCATGAAGAAACTTTTTTACCTGCTGTCGACTGAATTCATGAGGAATAATACGACTTACCAAGTAATTTGCAATGTCAGCATACCAAGAGACATTTTCAATGCGAAGTAATTGCTCATCAACGAATTGTTCTCGAATCTCTGCCTGACCTTCCTGAAGTGGGGACTCGAGCCTAGACAAGTGGTCGGCTACTTGGTTCTCCGTTCCTTTACAGTCCCTTACTTCTGTATCAAACTCTTGAAGTAGCAAAATCCATCGTATCAAACGTGGTTTTGCATCCTTCTTTGCAAATAAATACTTTAGAGCAGAATGATCAGTATAAACAATTACTTTTGCCCCTATCAAGTAAGACCTAAACTTATCAAAATCAAACACAACTGCTAACAATTCTTTTTCAGTAGTGGTGTAGTTTAGTTGTGCCCCCGTTAAAGTCTTACTGGCATAATATACTGGATGTAAAAAC